ATGCCTCCATCCATCCACCCACCCACCCACCCATCCATCCATCTATGCCTCCATTCACACATGCCTCCATCCGTGCCTCCATCCGCTCCTCTATCCGTCCATCCATCCACCCACCCATCCTCCCTTCCCCCATCACTGTCTCCAGCCTTGGGCCATGTCCACTCTTGCTGGTCCCCAGCCGAGGGCAGGCGATGCTCAGTGCTGCCCAGGTTCCTCACTCAGAGCAGCCTGCGAATGAGGAGCTGCTGGGATGGCAGAGGGTAGACAGATGGGTGTTAGAGGGCACTGTATCACCCCAGGGTCCTTCCAAGCCAGAGTACACGAGCAGAGGAGTTCCCTCCCTGGCTCTTGGGTCCATGCTGCCCCCTTTTACCAGCCTGGGAGCCTTCAGAGCCCAGCCCAGGCACCCACAGGTGCCCCCAAAAGCAGCTCCTGGCCAAGGGCAAGCAGCTCTGAGCTTGTCCCCCTAGATCCTGTCGGGGTACGACATCACCATGGTGCAGGAGGTCCGGGATACTGACCTGAGCGCTGTGAAGAAGCTCGTGGACCAGCTCAACAGGTGACTCCAATGGCACTGGGTGGGGGGTGCCTGCAAATGGGATGCCGGGACAGATCCTGGCTGGTGTCTCGCTGTGCCGGGGCATCTCTGGCTTGGCTGGAGAGAGCCCACTGGGTGCTGGGGAGCACCAGGAGCCTCTTCTCACCCTCTCCGCATCTTGCTTCCAGTGCATCCCTGCACCCATACAGCTTTTTGGACAGCATCCCCCTGGGTCGGACCAGCTACAAGGAGCAATACCTCTTCATCTACAGGTAAGGGATGCCTCTAGGGTCTGGTGTCCCCCGTGTCACCTGCTGTCCCCCCAGTGGCCCCCAAAGAGATGTGGGTACCTTTGGGGGCCCTGGCTGTGGCAGGGGCGGTACTGGAGGCTGCCCCGCTCTCCTCCCTCAGGTCGGACATGGTCTCCGTGCTGGGAAGCTACTACTACGATGACGGCTGCGAGTCCTGCGGGACCGATACCTTCAGCAGGGAGCCCTTCATTGTCAAGTTCTTCTCGCCCACCACACGTGAGCAGAGCTGGCACATGGCAGCACCTTGGCTGGCATTGGGGGCTGCCTGGACCTGGCACGGGGTCCCTTCTGCATGCAGCTGAGCCCGGAGCTATGCCTGCCAGGTGGGGAGTTGCACTCTGGAGCAAGCTGAGGGGATCCACTGGGGTCCTGCACTGCTGTGGGGCCTTCTCCCATGCATGGGTGCTCAGGGGTCCTGGGTAGCTGCCCAGCATGGCCAGCACTGCCTGCTGTTTCCCACCATGTGCCATCTCCCACCATCTCCCATCTCCACCTATTGTCTGCAGGCATCTATCCATCCATCTGTCCATCCATGCATCCACCCACCCATCAATCCAGCTGTCCACACCCCCTATCCATCCACCTATGCCTCCATCCCACCATGCTGTCTCTCCAGTTGCATGCCATATCACATCTCCAGCTGTTTCCCATTGTGTCCCACATCCCATCACTTGCCACCTCCCATCTTGTGCCATATGCCACCATCTGCTTCCTCCAGTTATGTGCCATCTCCCATCACCTGCCATCTCCCTTCACCTGCTGTCTCCCATCATGTACCATCTCCCATCACCTCCAATTTCCCACCTTGTGCCATCTCCTACCCTGTGCCATCACCTCCACCTCCCTGGCAGCTCCCCAGCACACGCACACTCTCCCATCTCTCTCCCACCCCCGTGCCCTTCCCAAAACCACAGCAGCTTGGAAAAAATGATGGGAAACAAGCAGCAAACCCCAAACCATGTGCAGAGGGATGCAGCTCCCTGCTGGAAATTCTGGCCTGGAGGACAGGCAGACCACAAAAAAACAATGCACCCTTTCCCTTTGGTAGCTTTTCCCAGCTGGTAGCTGGGGCTTGCCCTGGGGTGGTCCCCCGGGGTTCCTGCTCCCCTCCCCAGCTGTACCCAAGCTGGGGGCTGATGGGCACCTGTCTGGCAGAGGTGGAGGAGTTCGTGATGGTGCCCCTGCATGCAGAGCCCAGCAGTGCAGCACACGAGATCGACGCACTCTACGATGTCTACACCGACGTTGTCAACAAATGGGCAACTAACGTAAGCTGCAGCGGGGAGCTCGGATCCTCCCTGGGGCAGCCGGATGGGCTGGTGTACGGCCACCACACATCTCAGTGGCTGTCCTGGGATGGATGTGTCCCATGGGAGACCCCTCATACCCATCGGAGCACATGCCACCCTGGCAATGTCTGGGCAGGGAGCTGCTGGGTGGCTCCACTGCCATTACTGGGGGCTTGTCCCCCCATGCTGGGGAGCCCCAAGGGGGTTTCTTGCTGCCCCATAAGATTTTAGGGAGCCCTTGGTGCCCAGTAAGGTCTGTGGGCAGAGACACAGCATGCTGCCCTGCAGAACATCCTCCTCCTGGGCGACTTCAACGCTGACTGCTCCTACGTGACCAGCACACAGTGGCAGTTCATCCGCCTGCGCTCCCTCGACGCCTGCGAGTGGCTCATCCCTGACAGTGCCGACACCACCGTCGCTGCCACCACCGACTGTGCCTATGACCGGTGGGTGCTGCAGCAGTGGCACAGGGGAAGGCGTGGGGGGGACCGGCGGGTGCTAACACCCCCATGATGCCCCGGCAGCATTGTCGCCTGCGGCACTGCACTGCGCCAAGACATCGAGCCTGGCTCTGCCACCGTCAACAACTTCCAGAAGACTTTCCACCTCCAGAGCAAGGATGTGAGTAAGGGGCCAGGGCACACAAGCCCACTGGCACCGGGATCTAACCCACCATGCCTCCCAGGAGTGCAGGTGGGCCCCTGTTCCCCAGGGCACACCCGAGGGTGGCCTGACCCCAACGCCTGCACTGATGCAACACCCCAGCCTGAGCATTTTGGGGTACACTCTAAATTTTGGGGTGGGAGTGGAGCATTGGTGTCCCAGCCAGCCATGACAGCGATGGTTGGTCCAGATGAGCTCAACTGGCTCTCTGCTTTCCCCTGACACCCAGGCTTTGGCCGTCAGCGACCATTTCCCGGTGGAGGTGACCCTGAAAGCCCGCTGAGCCCATCCCCGTGCCGGTGGCTACCAGGACACCCCAGCACGCACCTGCATCCCCCATGGGAGCCCAGGCACCACCAGCAGCCAGCCAAGCTGCCCACCGTCTCTTCAAGGAGCCGCTCTTTGGTGTCTTGTGGGAGTGGGATGCTCTCTGCTTCCATTAAAGCCTTTTCCAGCCCTTGCAGCTCCGGAGGGAGCGTCCCTTCAGCCCCCCCAGCAGTGCCCCAAGCCCAAGTGCCCCATCCCCCTGCCAGGGGCAACCCCACCAGGGCTAGAGCCAGGGAGGTCCCCAGGGCTGGGGGTCCCCTTCTGCCACTGAGAGCCCCGGACCCACAGGACAGCAAGTGCCGCTCCCCTCTGAGCTGCTGGTGGCAAAAGTAGGGATACTGGAAAGGTCCTGGGAGGCTCTGGGCAGGATTCAGCCTCCTTGTCAGGTCGCAGGAGGCTCTTCTGCTGGCTTGGGAGCTGCATCCTGCCGGAGCCTGCCTGGCTGTGGGGCAACTGGTGGGGCACTGACGGCGAGGGTGGGAGGAGGCAGAGGACGTGAGTCAGTTCCCAGGGGGTTCAGTGCTTCTCAGGGGGGTTTCAATGCCAGTACAGTGACGAGGGACACCGGACTCATCCTGTGACTGGGTGTGAGGATGCAAAACCCAGTGGCACACATGAGAGCCTGGCAAGCCCTGACATGAACGGCCACCACCTCCCCACCCGCCCCCCACTGCTGGAACCCCGGCAGAGCTGCCTGATCCCTCAGCCAGGGTCATGCCATGTGCTGGAGAAGGGGATGCCGGCTCTGCTGGGGCTGCTTTGGGCCACCAGTGGGGCTGCTTTTGGTAACAACTGGGGCTGCTTTGGGTCATGACTGGGGCTGTTCTGGGTGGCCACTGGGGCTACTGCGGGGGTTTGAAGCCGCCCCCTCTTGCCGAGGATGGTGGTGCTCAGCCTGCCTGACCCAGACATCCTGCCATTTCCTTCTCTCCCCTCTAATTACACCATCTGAATCACCCATATTAAGGCCATCGTCCTTTGCCGCCTGCCTGGCCACCGTGCCCTGCTCCATGACCTGGGGGGCCACCCCAGCCACAGCACCCCGAGTCCTGTGCGCCCACCCAGCCCCACTGGAATGCCCCGGCACCACTGTGCCTCCCCAGCCACCCTTTGCCTCATCGGCACAGGGGCGGCTACACCAGCCCCACCCTGCCGCCCTGTGGGTTTTTGGTTTCCCAATGTAGGAAGGAGCCAAAAGCTGTGCCAAAACCCCCACGGGGGTGTCCGACTCATCCTGCTTTGCCGGCCCCTCCACTGGGAATAAAGCTGCCCATCCTGCTGCTGGGAGGGCAGAGGTGCTGCGCACTCAGCACGGTAAGGACAGATCCAGGCTGAGCACCGTCCGCCGTGAACCGGGAGGGACTGGGATGAGCTGGGACGAGCTGGAATGAGGAGTTGCTCCCTTACTTAGACAGTAGGTGCTGCGATCAAGTTTAAGGACGCAAAGCAGCCCGGGGGGCTGGCGGCAGCAGCTGGGGCTGGCAGGGGCTGGATGTGTCCTGGCAGGATATCCCAGGGGCTGTCAGGGGTGCTGCCAGGTGGATTCACCGTGGCAGGATGGGGTTTAGCTTCCCCTGGGGCCGGCAAGCTGGCAGACAGCCCATGCTGGCTCTGCGGACTGCTCCGGGCAGTGTCCACCGCGGCATACTGTTGCACGCCAGGACTTAGGAAGGACCTATATGGATTTTTTTTGCTCTATCCCCAAATCCAAAGCAGTTTCCCAAGCTTGGCTCCATTGCTGCATCCCTGTGGCTCAGCACCCCTCCCAGCAGGATGGGGACTGTGGCACTGGCACTGTCCCTGCTGGCCATGGCTCTCCCATGCCCGGCCACTGCCACACTACGCGTCAGTGCCTTCAACATCCAGGCATTCGGAGACACCAAGATGTCCAACGAGGAAGTGGCGGGCATCATCATCAGCGTGAGTGCGGCTGGGGATGGGGTCTGCACTGGGGCAGACCCAAACTGTGGCTCCTGTGCCAGGGACATGTGGGGACGTGGCCACAGGTGGGATGGCATCCCAGTGCCAGGGATGCCTTGGGTGAATGAAGGCTTGGTGGGGACCAAGATGGGATGTCAGGTACACCCCGCAGTCCCTCTGAACCCTCCTTGTGGACATCTGCCCTGATGCCAAGGGATATGTGGGTCCCCATGGTACTGCACACAGCACTGCATCGGGGTGCCCGGCCAGGAGAGGGGTGAGAGAGGAGAGAGGGTGGCCCCAAGCCAGCAGCAGGCTCCCTCTCACCATCGTCATCCCTCTTGGCCCCGCAGATCCTGAGCCGCTATGATGTGGCACTGGTGCAGGAGGTGCGAGACTCCGACCTCAGCGCTGTCACCCAGCTCATGGAGCAGCTTAACAGGTACGAGCAGGGCTGGGGCTGAGAGTGCCTGGGCTGAGACGCCAGCATTAGCAAGGAAAGCCAAGCTGCGTGAGCTATAGAAGGCCAAAAAAAGTCATCCATTGACAGAGGGTTTCGTTTTGGAAAGGGGAATAGGAGAAAAGTGCTGGGGCTGAAGCTGTGAGCAGGCACTGAAAAAGCCAACAAGAATAATCTGGGGAGGGGAAGAGGGATACAAGAGGCACGCAACCCCTCCAAAAGCTGCAATCCCACCAGAGCACACAGGATGGAAAGGAACTACAGCTCTGGCAAGCTCCAGCTCCAAAATCCAACAGGACGGGGCAGAGGCGAGATGGGGGATGAAGGGGGCAGGGGCAGGCAGTCCCCTGCACCCCAAGACCCTGTGAGTGGCAGGGGAACTCGGGGATGGACCCAGCTGCAGATGATGCTCTGAAGCGAGTGACTCGGGCACCCCAGGAGGAAAAGGGGCTTCTGGGGTGGGCTAAAACTGGCCACCGCGGGGCAGCAGCCCCTCCACCGGCTGGGTGCTGACGCCGTTTTGGGTGAGGGCACGGGCCAGAGCCAGGCTGGCGCCGGGCGGAGGCTGCGGCTGCCTTGTTGAAAGGCTGCGAGTGCTCCTGAGCAGGTACACCCAGCCCACATCCTCACCCCTGCGGTGTCCCCTCCAGCACGGCCACAAAGCAGCCGGGGCAGGGACGGTGATGTCAGGCTCCGTGGGGCCCCGGGCTGCTCATTAACCTAATTTAACTTTGCTGCAAATGAAGGTGGGGAGCGTCCCTGCAGAGGAAGGGGTGGCGCGAGGTGCACCATGTCCTGCCTGCAGCCGGCCATGCCTGAGTAGCCACCCCGGGGTGGTGCGGACAGCAGGGTGGCTCGGAACCACTACACCCCATGTCACCCCACAGCCAGGGCACAGTGGCCCACGGGGACAGCAGGGCAGGACTGGCTGATGCCAACCCCACGGCTGCCCAGCCCCTGGCCCCCAGGATGGAACCAGCCATGTCACCATCCTGCCTTTGCATCTCCACAGCATGTCCACATCCCTGTATGACTACGAGATCAGTGACCCCCTGGGACGGGACAACTACAAGGAGATGTACCTCTTCATCTACAGGTAATGGGGCTGGGCGTGCTGCTGCCTGTCCTGCAGCACCACGGGGCCACCAACACTGTGGAGGGGACACAGGGGCCATGCCAAGACCCAGGGTCACCATCCCTTTCATCCCACAGGACAGATGTTGTGTCTGTGGTGGACACCTACCAATATGAGGACCCCCAGGATGTCTTCAGCCGGGAGCCGTTCATCCTGAGGGTCTCAGTGCCCCACACCAGTAAGTGGGGTGATGTGTGGCCCCAGGCAGTGGCATGGGGTGGCCACGGGGCTGATGTCCCTCTCCCCTGGCAGAGGCAGAGGAGTTTGTGCTGGTGCCACTGCACTCGGCCCCGCACGATGCCGTTGCTGAGATCGATGCGCTCTACGATGTCTACGTGGCCATCATCAGCAAGTGGGGGACTGACGTGAGTGCTGCCGGCACCAGGGGTGGCACCAAGGGTGGGTGCTGATCCCCAGGGACCATTTGACCCTGCTCCGAGGCAAACGTGGTTGGTGCAAGGGTGGTGGGATGGGGACCCTGCTCCTGCCCTGTCCTCTGCCCCATCCCCAGCACCTGGGACTGGCCCGCATGGGAGGGGGTGTCAGGGGCAGCCCCATTCCCGCCGCCATGAGCCCCCCCATCTTCCCATCACAGAACATCATGTTCCTTGGCGACTTCAACGCTGACTGCGCCTACGTCCAGCCGAGTGACTGGTCAGCCATCCGCCTGCGCACCAGCGATGTCTTCAAGTGGCTGATCCCCGACAGTGCCGATACCACCGTGGGGAAGTCGGACTGCGCCTACGACAGGTGAGCGCTGCCATGGCACTGCAGTCCCCTCCATGGCACCCTGGGGCCCCCCCTGCTTGTCCCACACCACTAGTGGCCAAGCGTGGGGGCAGGAGTGGGACCCATTGCCTGTGTCTCCCTGGCAGGATTGTGGTGTGTGGTGCCAAGCTGAAGAGAAGCATTGTGCCAAATTCAGCTGCCATCTACAATTTCCAGCACACTTTCCAGCTGGAGCAGGAGGAGGTGAGTGGGGCTCACAAAGCCGGGGCTCAAACCGGCACCAAAGCTGTGCTGCCCCAGGCAGCGCTGGCTGTGGGGCTGCTGGTGTCTGTTTGGCCATTTAGCTGCCGCATTTAAGAAAAAGCCCAAAAGCAGAGTTGATGCAGCTCCAGCAGCAGCCCGAGCTGGCTCTGGCCGCAGCATGTGTACCCCTGCGCAGCACCTGACTTCTGGGATGCTAGCACAGCCCCTGCATAAGGCATGCTCCCCTCCCGGGACACAGCAGCCTGCAGCCAGCTAATGGGGAGCTCGGGGTGCTGTGGAATCCATGGGTGGAAACAGGAGGGGGGATTTGGGGTCATTGCTTGTCCCCGTGGGGAAGAGAGGAGACACACACGGCTTTTCGTAGTCTTTCATGGGTAGGACCCCATGGCATGGGGCGATCAAAGCCGACCTCCAACCATCCCACAGCTGGCACAGAGCTCCCAAGCTGGGGGTCTCGGGAGGGCAGACACCCCCCTGCCAGCACCAACCACAACAGGCCACACCTGGGCATCTCTCCACGAAAGGTGCCAGAACTGGAGCATTGTGTGTTGAGCCTCTCAGGGTTGGGGACATCACATCCCCCTCCAGCAGGCAGAAGGGTCTGGCAGGGTGATCAGTCACCCTGCTGGCCCCAGCAGCACGGCAAGGGGTGAGGAGCTCACTGAACCCCTGCGTTACACCTCCCCACCTCTCGCCCTCCTCCAGGCCCTGGCAGTCAGTGACCACTACCCGGTCGAGGTGAAGCTGACAGCTTGAGCTCCTCCTGCGGCTGCAGACCACAATCCATCTCCAGCTCCCACCACCAACCCCTGTGAAGTGCTCTCGTCAGCCCCATCCACGAGCCCTGCACGTGGGCTGCTCTGGATCCCGGTCTGGAGAAGGGTCGCAGCCAGCCACTGGCTGTGCCCAGGCCCCCCCAGCCCACCACGAACCAGAGACCACAGGCAGACCACCAGCCAGGGCCAGGAAGCAGTGACTGCAGACAGTCTGGGGAATGACGCATCCATGTCCTACCTCATCAAAGACTTTATTGACAAATCTCATTTCACAATTAGCTGTTGGACAGGAGGGAGGATATGCAAGGACTGTCGGGCTCGCGCCACAGCAGTGTCAAGACTGTCACGCTGTCCGCTCCTCAGGGGAGCTGAGAGGGCAGCTCTCCCTGCTCTCAGGAAAGGCAGTGGTGGTGTCAGGCACCCTATGGGGACTAAGAGGAAGGGGCAGTTGGGGGGGCCATGGGAGCAGGCAGCACGCCACCAACTGCTGACACTGCAGATGGCTTCACTGTGAAAGTCTACAGGTACTGCAGCGTTTCAGAAGGTCACTCAAGCTCCTGGGACCGGGCCCCGGACAGCTGGCTCCTCAGCTCTTCCTCTTCTTTAGCATCTCCATGTACATACGAAGTGACTTCTGGATGGACTCTTTTGAGATGAAGCTGATGAAGTTCTGAATGTCTTCCTCCCGGTGAGCTACCAGGCGGTCCAACACCGCTTTCCTCATCATGGACTTGGTGAGCTGACGGGCGTGGTCTGCAGAGAGGAGAGCAAGGATGGGGAACGTGTGCGGTCCTCACCCCCAACCAGTTCTCGGCCACTGCCACCATGTGCAGGTCCCTCCAAAGGGGAGGTACAACACACCAAAGGACTCTTTAAACCAGCATGGAAAGGTATAACACATCACCTGGAAGCTGAACTGGATAAATCCTCATACAATAAATTATGATCTGTACCATTCAGTGGGGAAACAACTGATCTGCTGGGACAGATGACAAAAAGTTGTGCACTTCCTTCCTCTTTGCACCCTCCAGAGCCCAGCCCCCGCCCCACTACACACCACCAGGCTCAGGACAGCAGTAACCAAACAAAATTCCCTGCTATTTGAAACTGCTCTGGCTCTGAGCTCTGAGCTCCCTCAACCCAACCCCTTCAAGCTCTGGCAAGACAGTCTGCTCATGCCAAACATGCCGTACAAAAGCCAGCAGCACTGTCCCCTTGAACTCATCCCAATGGCAGGCTCTGAGCCAGTTCATTATGGATACGTGGATGCTGCTGGAGCAGTGTTGGCTGCTGGAGCTGACCAAAGCCTTGAGCACACATCTGCTCACACACGCACATGCACACACACACAGAGCCATGCTCAATGAGCGGCTGCACTTCTATAGCACAGATGTTGCATACAGACTCTCAGTGTGCTGCAACAGCAACAGTGAAATGATGACCAACCCCCCCATACGCACTGGGAACCCCGAATGGCTCCAGCACCTTTGCACTACAGACACCTTCATGCGGACAGACTCCCCCTGGCTCTGATTTAGGGTTCTGGGAAAGAACCTGCATGGTGCCTCCTGGAAGTCAGAAGAGAGCACAGCTGAGACATGCTCCCCACTCTTGGGGGCTGTTTCAATCTAATGCCAGGAGAGCAGGGGAGAGCACTGTTTAGGGACCCTCTTCCAAGGCTGGGACACAAAGCAAGAGCCCTGGAACCCATCCACTTTTGCTCAGTTTCATTCAGGTTTGTACAGAAAGAGCAGCTGAAGGGTGATATGTAGTTGCACCTCCCTGCAGCACTCAGGACGTGGCATGGGATAGCTCTGGTCTAGCCCTGGCCCACAGAGAGCCCTCTCCCAGCCCAGGAACCATGTGCTGCCAGTCACGGAGCAGCCCAAACAAGCATGTGATGTTTGTACTTGCTGTCTGTCCTCACGCCCCCATTGCCATCCCCAGCTCAGCAGAGTGACAAGAGTTGATCCAGAGCACAAAGGTGGACTGGCAGCCACCCAGGCACTCTCACCCAGCCTGTCCCCTCAACTCCATGGCAGCTTTCCTGGGGTAACACCTCCACTGACAGACCAGAGATTCAGTTTATATCTGCAGCTCAGGCACCTCTGGATTGACTCAGCAGGATTGGCAGGGCGAGCCAAGCTGGAGCCACGCGCCCTGCACACTCAGCACAGTGTCCTCCTGCGCGGGTGGACTAGCAAGCAAGTCTCTGTTAGCCCAAAGCTGCCTGGACCACTGTTCTGAGCTTTCCTATCTCCCAGCTGTTCGCACCTTCCCTTTAAATGGAAACTGTTACATAGTTCCCATGTACCAGCCCTGGTACCTGTCCTTCCCACCCAGATCAGATCCCCGCTTCCTCTGCCAGAGGTGCTGCCCTTACCGGGAAGGGCCAGCCACTGTGCCATAACAGCCGCGGCCTTCTCCTGGAGCTTCTCTTCTGGCACCAGCTCATCCACAAGGCCAAACTTGTGGGCCTCGGGTGCAGGGTGGAGGGAGCCCAGCTGGAGGGAGCGTTCAGCAAATCGGTGTCCCACAGTGTTCACAAATGTGTCCTTAAACCTAGAAGAGATAGGAGGAAAAGCCATGGTCAAGGAAAGACACCCAGCAGCAGCTGAACCCAGACACTGAAGCTAAGAGCACGCTCAGTCCCACTGCCCAGGCACAGTCTCTAACAGCAGCTACGGACTCAGCCACGCCATGCAAAGTCAGGCGAGAAGAGCCTTTTTCAGTACTACCCCAACAGAGTTCACCCTCCTCTCCACAAGAGCTGCTCTATTTACCCTCAGTGCACCGGTCCCAGCTGTGCCCACTTGCTGTGATGTGAAAGCTCCTTTCCAACAGTACATTTACACATTCGTAGGGCAACCAAGGGTCCATGCCTCAGTATATCAGTGCCCCTACACTTCCAGAGATCTCCACAGCTACGGGATTTTGCAGGTACACAGCCTGTACCCACAGAAAAGCGTATTCCCAGACTGACCCTGACTAGGGAGATATCCCAGCACTAGTTTCAGAGTTGACTACAGAGTCAGAACTGAGGTCCTCACTGGTGAAGGATGTGAGGACATTCTGCAGCCTGAAAGCTTTTCAGATACCTGCAGAACAGGACAGAGAAATGAGGTGCTGTGTCCTGCAGCTGCAACTACCTGATCACTGACACATCTCTACTACTGACTACATCTCAGTGGCCAGTTAAACTGATTAATAAACTCCTTGAAGATTAATTCTTTTTAGAGACCTACAGGTGACACTAGAAGTGGGAGGCACTGGCCTACCAGAAGGGAGCCACAATGCCCAGCTGGACTTCGTTCAGGCCGATGCTGAATTTGGGGTTCTCCACCATGATCCTGTAGTCACATGACAAGGCAATGAGACAGCCTCCCGCCGGGCTGGACCCCTGGCAAAGAGAAGGAAGGAGTGAGTCTAGATCATGGTTACAAACGTCCCTGCGCCCCCAGCCTCGCTGTTTCCTCCAGAGCAGGAAAGACACAGGGTGAAAGAGCAAATGTCCCCCAAGTCTCTGATTACCTGACTCAAAACAGCCCTAAAGAAGATTTCTGATAGGTTTACCAGGGTTTATCCTTTCATTTTTCAATGCTCTTTTTTTCTTGCATTTTCCAGCGTGGAATCTAGTTAATTGATCCGTGTTACTTGGGTAGCAAACCCTGCAGTGGAGATTTGCTACGGCATTTTCTTGTAACCCTACATGAATTTTTAACCCTACTTGAGTTTGTAACCCTAAATGCCACAGAAATGGTTCGGTCCAGGGGCTTTGTAACACCTTCTGTCTATAAAACTTCCTTCGTGACCATCTTTGCCAGGACTCAGTGCTTGCCTAGCCCTGCACAGGATGCCTTTGGGAAGCCACTCAGAGACCCAGCTGCCTTCAAAGACAGTCTACAGACACAGAACTGTGAGCTGCCAAAGCGGCACTGCACTGAAAAATGAAAATAAGACACCGAGCAGGTAACAAGGCATCTATGGACAATGAGATTCAAACAGCACTTCCCTGCTGGCCAAGAACCACAGCTGGAGGAGCAAAACCCAGTGAAAAAAGGGCTTACAACAAACCGCACTGCCCGAAGCATTGCTGCCTCTCATCTCCTCCCCTCCAGCGAAGCAGTGCAACAGCCAAGCAAGTGACCCTGGGCAACTCCTACGAGTCTCATCAGTGAGAAAGCAGCTGGTGGGCATGTGACAGGCATCCTTTGCACTCCTCCTGCGCCAACCACTCAGCTTCTCCGGCACTCATCTGCCATCAATGCCCCTCTGGGCTTTACCACTGACCTACAGTCCTCCTCCTGGTCTTCCAGCCTGGAGGACAGACTCCCAGCTGAGTTCTTGGGGCAGGGTATGGCTCTTGCTGCACAAAACACTGCCAAGGGCACTTCAGTCGGCAAGGACACGAGTGCTGTGCAAGCCCTCCACCACAGCCAAAATGCTGCTATACCCCAGCAGCCTGCAACATCCCACACTTCCATACCTTCCCACACCCCAATGCACTGAACCAACAGATACATACTTTGCCCAGACATCCCAACAAATACATCCCTGTATTAGTTTCAGCACTGACAAGCCTGATTTTTTGGCTGTCCCTGCCCATGCAGTGCAAACAAGCCACAGCAAGTTACAGACTGTGCGGGGCAACTAGGAAGGTGGATCTAAAGGACGTACATTGAGTGCAGCGACTGTCACCATGTTGGAGCCGTACAGCCGGAGCCACAACTCCTGTGTGGCTCTCCAGAACTCCGCGTAGTGCTCTGGGCTCTTCCCACACATCTCGGTGATGTCCAGGCCAGATGAGAAGATTTTGGGGACAGCCTGGAATCGGGAAGATTGAATCACTGAGAGTCACTGCTCAAGGATGACCCTTTAGCCCTCTAATGTACTCAGCCTGGCAGCCTGAGAAAAGGGAAAGAGATAATTAAATATGATATAAACCAGGGTCTTTTGGGGTTCTAAAACAATCTCCTCAGTGCTCCCACAGCCTGAATCATCCCATCACCATGGCCTGCAGGGCTGGGACTCTTTGCTTGCAGCACAATTTCTCATTATCAGGGTCCTCGTGTGGGTACATCAGCCATGCAGCACAAAACCTGTCTTGTCCCATTCCCAGGCACCACCTCGCACCCACATCATGTCTGAAAATAAACACTGGCTTCCCCTAGCAGCTCCCTCCGGGCAGTTCAAGAGATCTCAAGGGATGTGCCAGGTTTGCAAATAAGCAGCTTTGATTTTAATGACAAATGACAACACTCGGTTGTTATTCTTCTGCTAGAAAAGGGCAGGGAAGAAAGAGCACAGCCCTTCCAAAAACCCCCTCCCCTCCTTCCAGAACCAATCAAAGCTGCCTCCTAGGCCTCCCGTGCCAGTGTCCAGGGAGCTAAGAGACCAAACATGAGCAAGGGAATGGCACCCGTGCCTGCCAAATTGCCCCCCAGCTCGCACCCTGAGCTCAGGAGAACACATACAGATGTGAAGATCACGCCCCGGCAAGCCCGGTCATTCTCCAGCTTCTCTAGGCTTATGCAAAACTCAGTGAGAAAGTCCAGGCTGAGGCTGTTGACCGGAGGGCTCTTGAACGTCATTGTGGCGACACCTGTGCCATGGTAAACACAAAGACATCAGTAACTCCCAACCAGAGCAGCACACACTGCCTTGCCCAAGGGAGCTTCACCCACATCCCTGTTTCCGTGCTCACCCAGATCATGTCTCTCCGCTTCTGGCTCTTCAAAAAGCCCCCAGAGCAGTGGGGCCAAGAGCAGGACCCTGCCTTTGCCCAGATCCGCCCACAAGCTGGGGTCACTCAGCCAGTGGTGAACCTGGAGCATGAACAAGCATGCGTGCGGTGGCACGCCGTGTGTCTGAAAGACCAGCCACCTTCGGGGTCACACTACCCAGCAGTTCCTTTCTCTCCAGGCTCCCTGTATAAGGTCAAGCCTCCAGCTTCTATCACAGCAAACATCCCAGGCCCAGGGGATCACATGCCTTTCTGAGCCTGCTGACAGCACTGCCACCCTGGCCAGCACCGCAGGAAGGGCTCTGAGCCCTTGTTCCCTCCCAAACAGCACCACCCTACCCAAAAAGGTCCTCACTGAGTGCTTAGTCTGGGTGCTGCAGCTGTGCCCAGGCTGGGGACAGCGTGAGGACACACCCAGAGGCCTGGCCCTGGGAAGCCTTAAGAAGCAGCACCCTTTGTTCAGTGCAGGGATGTGGCCCCGTGACAGCTATTCCTGGCTGCCAGGACACAGAAATCCCCAACAGCTGCTCCCTGAAGGAGCGCCTGCCACTCCATCGGGTCCCCAAAGCAAAGACCCCACAGAGGGGACGACGCATGGGCAGGGGACAGGGCACGAGGTCTGCCCACAGTGACAGCTAGGGTTTGCCTGTGGCACCCAAGCAGCACCCAGCCACCTGAAGTATGCACAAACGGTGAGACTTCTGTCCCCAAATGCTTCTCTGTGAGGGTCCTAAGCAACTGAAGCTGGAACATCTAGGGCTTTGGTGGCTTTCCATGCAGTCACATGTGCCATGCAGCAGGCATGGGACAGACCCCCCCTGCCTGCATCACACAACACTCCACGGGACGTGGGTGACACTGCAGAGGTGCCACCCGCCGGACCTGAGCTCTCATCCAGCTCCACCAGGATCTTCTTGTTGCTGAAGGTGCGACATGGGGCTAGCAGGAAGCCGGGGGACTGCCGGGTGGCTCTGCCCCACACCGGCGGCCAGTGGCAGAGGGGCAGCACACCTGGGAAGACAGAAGCAGGTAAGGCTGGGCAGGGGACAGCCCCCACGGATGTGGGGTGTGCTCCCCAAAACTGCTCTGCACAGACAGGGTGGGGACAGGGGGACATCCTGACCCTCTGAAGGAGGGCGTGGGGACACCCCAGCCCACGGCAGGGGGACACGGGGGACACCCTGACCCACTGAAGGAGGACATGGGCCACCCT